ACTGAAAAATTTCAACCAGCATTTCCAAAACCAAAGTGAATAGCTAAATATACATCAGCCTGGCCTCAATCCAGTAGAAAGGCTAATGGATCTGCTACTCTGGCTTTTTACAGGAACTTCATCCAGTAATTTCTGCATCAAAGTCATAACTTCAAGCTGAACTCTTGCATACCCTTTGCATGCCAGTTTGCATTAAAGATTGCAGATAGGACACCTAGTTATGTTCTTTGACTTCATTCCAAGTATTGAAGACCTCTTTGACCTGTTGCCTGAAGTCAGATGCTGATGAACTGTAATTGTACTATTAATCTCTGAACTACAGAGCAAGGAGCAATAGTCATACCTTTCAGATGAGGTTAAACTGATGAAATACCCCACTTGAGGTGCATTTCTTTCTTTGTGTCCTGTAAACTGCACCAAGGTTCTTTGGAAGCCACAGCATTTACAGTGGCTGTCCTGATTGCTGTACGGAAAGGTAGGATTTGTAGCTCAGTTTGACCTTAGATACCTGCTGTTGACTTGCAACATTATTCTGAGTTGGGGAGAAGAACATTTTCTGTATTATCATTATCTGTCTGTTGGACCACAGGAACATCACATTTTCATCTAGACTGCAGATACATTTTCATTATAAGGACAAGGCAGAAGAGGGAATTTTTTGCTTTGAAAGAAACAGAACTCAAGTGAGGAGGGTAAGGAAAGTGCACAAGCTGATTTTGGATTAGGTTGCTGCTCTGTAGCAAGGAGCTTTGATGTACAGATGCAATCTATATAAAAAAAAAAGGTAAAAAGAAAAAAACCCTTTCTTCAGAACTTTTGATGATGACAATAGCTTTCAAATGGTCAAATAACATTTTGGAGAGCTAACCTGTCTTCTGAGTAAAGCTACTTTATCAAAGTGAAAAAGCACAAATTATTGTGTCTTAACTTCAGATGGCCATAACTTTGGAAAAGAAGGAAGTGTGAGATCCTTAGAGCACAGACTCAGAAAAGCTGTGCATGCTTGTGTGTGTTTCCTTAGTGCGTTAGGCTATGTCTTTGATGCATAAGACAACAAATCTATCAGATACTCTCAGTCTTCTTTCTTCCCAAGATTTCACTACCATATTCCCACGCAAAGGAAATTCTGAAGCAAAAAATCAGCCAGTATTTTTCTGTGGGCATTTTTGTTTGTTTGTCTGTTTGTTTGTTCCCCCATGAATCAGCACCTGAAGGTCGGTCTTTATGCAGATGGCTGTATCCTTATAAATCATGGGGCTTTTAGTTTCTACCCCTTTGCCTTAGTCTGGGATGGTGGAGGGAGAGAGATTGTTCCAGGTGGCAAAATAGGCACAAACAGAAGCAGAGGATAAAACCTGTTAAAGACAAATGCAGAAAATGGGTTCACCCTGCAGACGTTAGTGGTTTTAAAATTCTGAACTGGATTCTCCAGGGTAAGAGAAGTTATTTTATCCCTTTTAGCTTATTAGGTGTACAGTTGTTTGCTCCCAGATGGTTCACTTGCCACATTTCAAGCAAGTACAGAAGTCTGTCCAGAGCCAGCTTAGCAGGGGACAAGGAGGCGTGTCAGTCTACAGAAGCTATGGTACACAAAGAGGTGGTGCAGGCAGCAGCATAGTGCCCAGTCTCCGCATTGCAGCTGAGCTGAGGGTGGGATGCGGCACCAGGAGCCCCTTGGCACAAGCATGTACATCATGTCCCAAGGAAGATTCAAGCTAAATCAGTGGACATCTGTGGTCACTTGAAATGTCCCACAGTGTATGCTTTATGTGAGCAGGTTTGGTTTCAGTAGCCCTGGTGGCTGCTACACTGAGAAGACCAAAATTCCTTGGGTTTGGGGGGGATCTCTCTCTAGGTCTTGTTTATGTTTCTGTGCAGGCTTGTGAAATGGGCTGAAGTAGGTGTGAAGTAAGGTGTGCTGACTGCTATTCAGGAGTATGCTGAGGCTCTCAATGCCCAGGCAGTTTTTGATGACCTGGCACTGTATGCTGACATTGGTGGTTGCTATTGTCTTTCTCACCAGGAAGTGACAGATTTTTATGTAAGGGGCCAGATCATGAAGTAACTCTGTCTTGGTTTGGTACCTTCATTTTTACGCTGTAGTGGTTGGATACCATTATGGGAAAAAAGCTTGTTATGAATTAATGACAATGAAGCAGAACCTTATAAAGGAAATGTAATATACTGCACATTTCATTTTCTTTGTAAGTCTGAGTCCCACTGATCTTTCAACACTTCAGGTTTTGTTCAAGCTATATAGTTTATATAGGACTATAAACTACAAATGGTGATATCTGCATGTAATGACTCTATTTAAATAGACAAAATAATTGCAAGGCTTCTCTTCAAGAAAAGAAGCCTTTCCGTATATGATAATACATTCTGGCTGTAGAATTCAAAAGATAACAATGGACATTATTCTGCTTTATAGTTGCTGCTTTTTCAAAAATATCAATGAGATCTTTTTTAAGTTTGTGTGATATTAAAAGTCTGCCATTTTTAAAGCACAGATCAGGCTCTGAGTTGATCAAGCTGAGCACTGCTTGCATGTGGTTGCTGATGTGAGAGTAGCAACAGTTTTGAACATGTTCAGACTGAGGAAGAGTGTTTACAGATGAAACAGGAGCTGTCACAGGATTTTTAGGCTGTTGTGGAAAGAGCTAACCTAGCAAGGTTTTAATGAGGACAAAAATCCAGCTCTGCAGTTGGGACTAGACTAACTTTCCATCTCATGGTAATGGCCTCCTTGGATGGAGGCATCACCACTACTCCTTTTCATTCAGAGGTAGCTTCAATTTACACCCTAGCTAATCTGCAGCTTCTCAAAATGTGCAGTTAAATGATGCTTGTGTCTCTCCCAGAAGCCTGATAAATACCAGGAGAAAGGTGGGCACAGCTTTGCTGTTCCACACTCTGCTGATTCCCAACCCATTGATACTGCATCATTTGCTACCATTTTGAGGAAATGTTTCTCAGATTAGTTTAGTTTATACTACTAGTTTTGTTCCTGCTTTCACTGGGTGATGAAAAAGTTTAAACCTTTTAAGTACCCTCTTACAAAGGTATTGGAGAATTGTGAGGACTCCTCATTCAGAGCAAGAATTTCAGCTAATGCATTTCAGAAAACTTGAGCTGAAAGTGATGGCATTACAACATTCACACCCCTTGAGGTTTTGACCATTAGATCCAGTTGTTAAATGGCTTTTAACATATTTATCCTGCTCATGTCAGAACGTGCAATGAAAATCACCTTGGGTAAATTGAACTAGTGATTTTTTTTCAGTTCTCAAAAACTACCTTTGGCAGAGCAAAAGTTGTCTCAGAAAACGATAGAGCTGTCATCCATTCTGAAGCCTGACTTCATGAAATTACATTGTGAGCTTCCATCATGATATTGCTTCACAGATTTCCAGATTAGACATACTGAATTCAAGACTAAAACAAGATTGTTTGGTCTTTTTTCTTCTTTTATCCCCTCCTTATTTGCCAGCCTAACAAACTCAGCAAAAGGTCTCAAAATCTGGCTTGATTGTTCTGCATTAATTTTATTACAAATCTGAACTATAAATGACTGGCCTTGAACCTGGGATTTTGGAAGGGGCAAAATATGAATCTTGTTGCTATCTTGCTGGCTTTTTGAAATTAATAAGGTCAAAGTGCAGGAAAAAAAATAGCCAAAAATTGTTCCATAAGAAGTGGAACTAGTGGAGTCACGTATATGACTTATGTATGTCTTTTCTACTCTCATACTCCCCATTGCTCTACCTTATGTTCTGTGACCTCCCCAAAGACTAAAAAATATAACCTGAGGGCTGTGCCATCCCAGTAGGTTCTGTTGTAGCTGAACAGCAGGTTCAGAAGTTATCGGAGAGTTAACGAAGCTTAAAACCCACAGGAGCACCAGAAGGAGCTGCAACTATGAAGGTTAAATGTGCTTGTCCTGTTATGGTCTTCGAAGGCCAGTAAGATGCAAGTAGATTCAAAAAACTCAACCCAAATTTATAGTATTAGAGACAATGCTGTGCCACTTCTGGCAGCTGTGGAATGTACCTCAATGCACAAGCAGTCCCACCAGCAATCAGTATGGCTGCTTAAGTACCAATTTAGTATCTGACTTCAGATTAAATGGCAGAATACCATTTCACAAATGATTAATCAAAACTTTCAAGTTACTCCTTTAATGTTTGGAATATTTATTATGTTTATATCATTTGTAATACTTATACAGTGTATTTAATCATAACGTGTTGCTTCAACTAAAAGTAGTATTTAAGACATTTAATGTGTCATCATGCCACTCAAGTTTACAGTTGAAATGGTCATGAAGGTCTTGTATTTACTGTTTATGCAATTTTTATTCAAGCCCTAGTTAACTCTGCTGATAAATGGTTAAAGAGAAGATCCTTTTATGTGGGTCTCCTCATTCCCATTTCTATCCTTTGCTGGGGTTCTGCAAGTGTGTTTCACACTGATGAGCATCTGAAACGTGCCTGAGTTTTGCTATGTTTCTAGTAAGTATCCTTTTCTTGGGTCAAACCAATGAGTTTATTTCCATTGAGCTGCTCTTTCAAATGCAGAAGGATAATTTTCAATTTAATGTAAAAACTATTTTAATCAGAACAGGGTTCACAATTCATAGAATAGCTCATACAAATGTTAAAGGCATTTTTTTGTAGAAACATTTCTGACATAACTGAATTGCTGGGCTGTATTAAAATGTCGTATTCTGGAAACAGTGACATTTCCACATGGTCTCTTACATAGGTTCTGTATTTGTAATCAGTTGCTTCTTTTATAAATGGAATGCAATGCACAGGAGGGTGAGTTCACATATCCTTTTCTGTTCATGCACACTGGCCTGGGAACTATAAATGGAACAAAAGGATGAACTTCACTGGGCACTTACCACTTTTATGTGTTGATGAGTTAGAACTTTGTTGATATGCCTGAAGTAGTTTAAATAAAGACTGTGCCACATATATTTTTCTTGTTATTTTTAGAAGTCCAGCTCCAGTGCGACCTGAAACTACACCATCAACTGCCCCTACAGAGAAGCAGGAGGTTAAAGTTTCTCGTGTGAGGAAGTTAACAAGGCAGTACAGTTTGTGAGTAACGCATAACACTATCTTTGTGGTTTTGCCTACTACAGCAGAAAATGAAGGGGGATGCTATATAACTGTTCTAGCTATGCCTTCTGAAAGGCATGAGTGCAATTACATGATAATGATCGTACCAATCCTTTCAACACTGAGAATCTTCAAACTTTTAATATGAAATGCATTTGCTGTCCTTAAGCAGTTGCTAACCCTCAGAACTGCAGGCCTTCTGCCTTTCTCTGAGTTTACAGATTACGAATTGAAAAACTCTTTTCCACATGAAATGTCAAAGACATTGCTAATGCAAGCTGCTCTGTCTGCTTCACTGCAACCCCATTTGCAAAATGAGGAAAACTGTCTTTGTTGGATGGTCAAGCTGTGCTGCCGGGTATTCCCTCCCAGAAAGTGCACCCTCTCCTTCACTGTGATTTTGTCACATGCAAAAATTGCTGAGCCTGCTACAGCTACAGTTAGTCCTGCCAAGAATGATCTGTGCCTATAGGGCTTTGGCATCCCATTTACACGTAAGTCAAGATTTTAGAGTCTCTAAAGGTGTGAAGTACTGAAGAGATGTGGAAATCCATTTGTTGTTTGGTCATTCATATGAAGGAACAGACAACACCACCAGAAACTAGGGTTTAAAAAAGGAATAATGTCAGCATAAACTTATTAGTACAAGAACACAAGTGCCATAACAAAGAAAAAAATATGTGTGTTCTATGCAGAATGGCAACTGTTAGTCCCTCCAGCAATTTAAAATTCTAGTGTCCCTAAGTATATAGAAACATTAGCAAACATTTTCCTTCTCTCCAGATGGATTCTAATAAATATCAATATGTAATTATTTTTTGTCTCAATCTTAAGAACACTGGCTTTTGTTATAAAAAAAAAAAAAAAAAAAGAAACAATCTACATCACCAAAACTAAAAAATTTTTTAGGAGAAGAAACAGGGAAATTAATCAATTTGAAACCAGGAGGAAAATGAGCAATTAGCCAAATTGGTATTTGTCAGAGAGACCAAGTCTGACATATGGGAGCACACAGCCACAGCTTGGTCTGCAGCCACATAGCATGCTCTCTCTTACAATGACACATCAGCCAGGATGGTTTGAAAATGAGATGGGAGTTGACAACGCAAGCTGGGAAGAGAACCCAGCTTCCCTTACTGCTTGCTAATCCTGAAGATAATGTGTGACAGGAACTTGACAGCATTTGGTAGGAGCAGTTTCCCAGGGCCTGAATGAAGCCGGCTCACTCACTCTGCCCAGCACAGCCTAAGCAGCAGTGTGCTTTTCTTGAATGAGACATCACTTCTACTACCTCATTTTCTACAAGCCAGGAGAAGGAAATCTCCCACGTATTTCGAGATATTTTTTCAGATTTTTATATAATGGAGGGACTGGTAGATAGCAGTCAGCAAAGGAAAAGTCTGCAACACTGAGAGAACCAATTAGTTGATGCTCATCATATGGCAGGCAATGAACAGGATGCAGTGGCTGATCCTGTTCTTTGAGTACACTGATGTGTAAGGAAATTCATGTCCTTTTGCAGCTATAGTCACAGGTTTTCTAGAAACACTTGGAAAAGTTTTTAAGTTTTAACCTAAACAGGTTGTTAAACTTGGTCCTCAAATACTGCTACACGGAAAACAAAGAGAACAGGGTTATTCTATGTAGACAGACGTGTTTGTAGGGTATATTAGGGCTGGAGAAGGCATGTTTATCAATAAGTAACAACCAAAAGATAGGTGCAGGTAATAAGAGAGAATAGTGAAAATAAGTACCTCAAGGCATCATCCCTGAAGTAATAGCAGAATCAGCTATTACTAGATCATTCTTGTCTGAGAAAGTGTTTAGCCAACCTGTTCTTAAAGGGCAAAGAGAAACTCCAGACCAGACTGAGCCCTTTCCTGTACGTGATCAGTCATCTGATCCCCCAGAGCTGCTGAGCACCTTCAGAATGGTACTGGGGAAAGGAGGAGTGTGTAAATGAGAATGAGTGAGAGTTTGTCCCAAAGAGAAGGGAAAAGGTGCCAGGAGCCATTGGGAGTAACAGTACCATGGAGAATTCAGCAGTGTCTGGAAAAGCAGAACCCAGGAGGGCAAGACCTGAAGTGACAATCACTGTGGTGGAGGCAAGTGTGGAAAGGAGACTAGAAGCAGGTTCATGCAGAAAAGGCAATAGTGTTTATTATACACACATTGAGAAGTGACATTTAAACATTGGATTTATATATTTAAAAAAAAAAAAGAAAAATAATGAGCTCAGAAGTGAATTCTCAATTCTGGTTGTTGAGTTTTTGAAGAACCATTTTGAAGCATGTCTTGCCCTCATGTAGATTTTCAGTTGTACAGTGTTCACCATGAGAAACAGCACATAAACACATCTAACCACAGATGTCACCTGCTCTATGGCCACGTATAGGGCTGAAGACTCCCTAGTTAGAAATACAGCCTGTGATTTTTTTTTAATTTTTTTGTAGACCCAAATTCTATTCAATTTAAATTATCTTGTGTCTGGGATGCAAATGTGGGAAATGCAAAAAAACAGTGAAAGAATATTGCGAAAGGAATAGAGTGAAGGGCAATTCTCAGTCTTACAGCTGGCATGCTAATATCTTGATTACTGATAAGACTAGCCTCTTACCCTTAGCTTTGGTTCACAGATGCTAAGAAGCCTTTCTGAACTTGCAAGTTCTCGACAGTTTTCCGCTTTCTTGTATGCAACAGAGCAGCTTTACCCAGCAAGGATGGGGAGGGTGCCAGTGCGTTCCTGCTGAGAGTGGAGAGCAATGGCTGAGGAAATGCCAGCTACATTTCTGAAAGAGATTAACTAGGTCAATAGCCCAACACTGACTTGTTGCATTAATAAAATATCTATTGAAGAGGTCCAAAAGGTTTTGCATTTTCTTTCCAGTATAAACCCAGTGTATTGTACATGCTTTGATACTGAATTGTACCCTTACCCAAAGGAAATAAAAAGTGAAGCATTGGGAAGATAACATTAATCACCATAGCTTTATATCACAATAGAAAACCATTGCTGTCACACCAAACAACCCACCATAAGGCTGTGTATGTCACATAATTTTGAAGTACTGTGTTGCCCAAGCATGATACCTTCAAGTAGCACTGAACCAAATACAGTTCTGTTCTGGAAGTGTCTGTCAAACAGGCATAGCAGGCTTCTGTGCACTGTGCCTACATAATTGGTAGTTCAAATAGGTGCCATTTTATGATCAGAAATATTTTTTCTTATAATTTTTCTCTATGCTTTAAACTGTCAAACTGTAGTTTTTCCTTTTCACACATCATTTCCAGGAATAAAGGTTCTGTAGGCCAAATTATGACTTTATTTACCTCCATGCAATTGCAATTAGCAATTGGAAAAATCCGTGCTCAGGGTTGACTGATCCCAATGATTTGTAGTCAATGTAGCTCTGCAACAGTAAATGAAAGGATAATATCCTCTACTAGCTTTCATTTAGCGGTGACAGTAGGTGAGATGGAAAGAGCTCAGCTTGACGGCCCAGAGCCCAAGGGAAGCATGCAACCTGGTTTTAAATAAAATGTTTTCTCTGTAAGAGGAATAAATGGGACAGGAGAAAGATACTCTCACAAGAATGTTTTTAAAGAGCTCCTTTTTGGAGTCAAAGTCCTTTAAAAACAGTTTGAAAGCCACAGCACAGACTAGCTGCATCAAATCTCCCACTGGTCTAAAGCCAATGAAGTAGTTGGTCCCATGCCTGGATCTAACCAGATCTGTTCTTATCAATACTGCCAGCCTTCATAGAAAAGAATAAACATTACCACCAAATAAGTTTATTTAGTCATATACATATATATATATACTCAGTAGAAAGCCTACTTGCACATAAGATTTCCACTTGCAGATGGGAATTGCCTAGCCAATCCACTTTGGAGGAATCTTTAAAGCTTAAAAAATGTAATTTACTTGAAAAGTAAATTAGAGCATTACAGATAGAAGAGTAAACAGAGTCTCACTCCAAAGAGCTACAGCTGACATATAGACAGGTTACCAGCAGTGCCTCCTCTTGGTGAAGGAGTATGGGTAAAGTCTGGTGACATTTTCTAATGAGAAGATCTGTGTGCTTTTATCAACTGCAGTGATGAAGATGACCTTCCTCCAGCACTGGCAGCGGCAGCAGCAGCATCCACACCTGTGTCCTCAGCATCTCCTGGGTCACAGAAAACATGTACGCCACAGACGTCAGAAGGACAACCACAGGTTTCACCTGGTGGCAAGGTAATATACAAAGAAATGAGCTTTTGTCAGTTGGGAGAGTATTTAGAAAGGGTGGGAGGGAGTGGCAGATAACATATTTTCCTTAGATGGAGTAATTCTACATTTAGGAGTAGTTTTTATTGCAGAGTTGTAGTAAGTAATATGTTTAACCTGTTGTATAAGGGAATATTTAAAGCTTGCTCCAAGACCCAACTAAAATCTGTAATAGTTTTTCGCCAATATTAGGGGGCACCGGATCAGGTTTAAGTTGATATTTACCTTAATTTCAAAGGTGCGTAATTTTGTTGTCTGTCTTTCCTGAGTAGCCAGTACTTAATAAAACATGGTGTGAAATTTGAAATCTATTTGGCAATCTATGCTTTAAGGGATAAAAAAAAAATCAAACAAAAAAAAACCCCAAATGAAACAAAAAGCTCCAACAACCAACAGAATTACAGAAATTCAATGTCTTATTCAATGTTGGGTTTCTTTTTTGCCTTTAGAGTTCCACAGACGCTGGAAGTACATTTGCTTTGGAGCCAGGTGACCTCCTGATGGATTTCACAGAGGCCACACCTATGGTAAATAGTTTCAGTTTGCTACCAAAAAAATGTGAAAGTTTTCAGTAATTTGCCTGCAGCTAAAATGAATGGGATACTATACAATGTGTTGGATAGTGCAAAGGACTGAAGTAAGTTTCCTTGATATTCAGTGGTCTTGAGCATCCATCAAACTCAGCTCAGCATCTCTGAAAATCAACCCACATCAACAAATATTGTGGATAATCTTCTGCATGTGATTTTTTATTGTTGGATGACTTCTCATTTCTCTCTCCTACCTGGGTATCTTTATACCTTGCTGCACTGGTTTCCCAAGCTTCTTTGTCCCTTTAACATAAATTCCTAATCTCATCATAGATTTGCTTTTGGGAGTTGGCTGAAAAGTCTCTTCTTCTCCCCACAAGACCTTACCCAATAGCCAATTAAAAGACATGTACCTGTACTTTCATGTTTCATTAGCAGAGTGCTTTGCTTCACTTTAAGGCAGAATAGTCTATAATGTTTTGATTATTAACTTCTTTTTTTAGTATGTGATTTGACATTTTGCTTAAAAGCCAAGGAAAGATACTGGTTCCACTGAAGTCAAAATGCCTCTTGCCTTAGGGATCTCAGGCTTTCAGCTCAGATTCCCAGCAGACTACTTGAAGGATCACAGTATGATCCTTAACTTTCTCCAAGTCATCTTGCATTGGAAATAGCTTTAATGTCAGATAGCTCCTCTGCTTTCCAAAGCCATTTTTGCTGTCTTCTAGAAACCATATTTAAAGCATACAACAAGCATGACACAGACAGCACTATGTTTTTGGCATAAACCTTTTTGTATTAAAGTACTTACGTTCTAGGCATTGCTTTCACTACATGGTTAAGTGCTATTTTACAGTATTGGAAAGGCTCTGTAGGAATGTGTCTTTTCCTTCAGAGGCTGTATTATATCTGTCTGTAAACAATTGCCTGTGTCCTGTTACCACTGGATGAGAGATGTGGCTTCCCCTGCCAGTCTAATGAAGTGAAGGCTTATCCTTCCTAGGCCCCTCCCTGCTTGCAAAAGGGATGTGAATGTTCAGCTGTGGCTTTTTGGCTTCAGAGGCATTCTGAGGTAGGCACAGGGTGTACTATGACTAAAGACTTGCTGCTGTGGATGGGTTAACAGGTTTGATGCAGGGGACTGGGCAGGGGCTATGGAGCAGCTGAGACTGTCACTGTTAACACTGCAGCTTGGGAATGGACATCAGCTCTAGAAGGACAGAAAGATCTGCAAAGCTGTTCTCTCTTATGCAGCTTCAAGCATGTGGAATTGTTTCTTCACAAAGTCCTTGAGGATACTTGATGGTCCCTCTAATACTTCAGGGGGTTTGATAAGCATGGTCTTCACCTTCCATCGACGTGCTATCTGCACCCACCCTGTTTCTCCTGACGCTCTTCTTATCTTTGCCCTTCAACCAAGTCAGCTGAACGGTCTTTCTGCCCTAAGACTTTCTTAATGCAAGTGTTGTATCTCTGAACTGTAGCAAATTGAAATTTAAGGGGCCTTCTGGCTCCTTGAGCCCCTGGGTCTCCTTGGTGGGAGAACTGTGCCAGCACTAGAAGCTATGATGACAGCACAGCACTTACTGCTGCTACATCCACCATGTAGGAGGGACCTGCTTGTGCACCTGAAAATACCATTGCAGACAGGAGCATCTATGGAAATGAGGTTTACCTGAAAGCTCCTTGAATGGTGGATGATGGAACTATTCCATTTCAGAAAGTGACAGGAAGAGATGCATTTAAGCTGAACAATTCCAGTTGCTCCCTGACATTTCTGGGGGAAGGGAAAATTAAAAGGAAGCAAAGTAAAGTGAAAAAGAGGGGCAGCATTCTGCAGCCTTTTTTAGTAGTTTGGGTTGACACACACAGGCAAACTGAAACTGAGACTACATGGAAGGAAGTTGTAGCAAGGTAGATGTTGGTTTTTTCCCAAGTAAGAAGTGATAGGACAAAGGGAAATGGCCTCAAGTTGCACCAGGGGAAGTTTAGATTGGATATTAGGAAAAATTTCTTCACTGGAAGGATTATCTAGCACTGGAACAGGCTGCCCACAGAAGTGGTTGTTTTACCGCCCCTGGAGGTACTTATAAAACGTGTGGATAAGGCACCTAGACACGGGGTTTAGTGATGACTTGGCAGTGTTAGGTTTGCGGTTATGCTTGATGATCTTAAAGGTTTTTTCCGATCTATGTGATTCTATGATTCTATATAGATTATATTATCTTCTGTGTTAATAACGTGTTTGTGGCTAAACTGTAAGTAATTATCCGTTAGATTTTATTAATGCATTTCTTATTCTAAAAATCATTAAACCATATCTTACTGTATTAAGCAGAATTTTAAAAAGTGAGTCATGGAGACTTTAGCAACTGACCTGCTCTAGATAACAGGTTTGGGTTTTGTTTCCATTTAATAGAAGTCAGCATTAAACACTTTTCCAGCTGAGGATTTAGGCTCTTTTCCCCAAATATTTTACCCAGTCGTGCTTTCCCATTTCCTACCCTCTATCGGCTGACATAATTTGTCACACTGTATGTTCATAAACCAACCTTCCATTATTTTCTTGGTTTTAATATTTTGGAGAGATGTACTGCAGAGCATCAATCAACCCTTTCTGTTTTGTTTAACATCTATAAAGGTCATCTTGTTCTCTACAGAGCAGTTATTGTTTACAGACCTTTCTCTGCAGTTTCACTGGCTACAGGCTGCTCTCAATTGAGGTTTGAATGAAAAGTTTACTCTTCAGGGAGAGAGGCTCCAAACTAAAGCAAGTTATGGGAAATGCATAGCTCTGAACCAGTCTGATTATTTCATAATTCTGTTGTGATAACATGTGCTGTCATTTGAGGGTCAAGATGGTGTTGAGCTTACATTGTGTTACTGTCAAGTCAGTGGTGGTATGCTGGTTTTGCATGTTATAACCTGGCCCTTGGGAGGTTTCTTGTTAATTGCACCCATTTGTTTCACATTCAGTGACAGGTACAATGTCTAAGAAGGTCATTCATGCTGCCTGATTTGGGGCATTTGCCTGAGGTGGTAGGGTTAGAAGTTCAGGTTCCTACATAGTCAGGGGGTTTCCTGCAGAGGGGCATTTAGAGCCGCCTTCTTGTCTGGACTAGAGAGTCTAAGGCACCTAAATTGGACACCTAAAATGAATTGTGGGGGTGTGTGTGATGTGTGTGTCATGATGTTTGCTGCCAAAATTCTCCAGTTCACTGGCGAAGAGTTAATTTAAAGCAGTTTTAGACATCCTTCTTTCTGTAACATTACCGGTTGAGAGTGATTAATAGTCACTGACTCAGCTGCATGATCTTCATTGTTCAGTGTCTAATCATTGATGCTTCTTGATGGCTTTGGGTTTTATCCATGTTTTGCTGCTGTTGCCCATGCAGTGGAAGCCTTTATGCATGCTGAGAATTACAGTTAGAAGTGGAGCTCACAAAACAAAATCATAATAGAAAAATTGAAGGATTACTGAATGGATTGGATTAATAGAATTCATGCAGGTGTCCATGCAGGGATCAGAGCACTCAAATTTGTCCACCCGGTCAGGCTCGAGGAGCTACTGTGGTATGTACGAGAACCAGCTGAGCTCTAATGGTCACTTAGTCATCAATACTTAGATTGCCAATAACAGCAGGCAATTATGAAGCAGACTTATTTCAGGAAATAATTTTGCAGGAGAAATAACGTACATTTACTAATGCAGATTGCCTAGAAGGAAAGGTATCCTTTTGTGCTCTGCAGTCCTCAAACCGTGTGGTTTATGCATGCTTCCATTAATTTTTCATGTAAATCCTACAACTAATTGACTGCCACACATTACTTGCCCTTAAAATCATTACAACATACGCAGAAGAAAATCCCTGTCTTTTTATACTACTTAATTGTGACTTTGAGCACTGTACCTGAGTTGTACGTAAACAAGATTCAATTCTTTCTGCTTCTGTGTTTCACAAAAGAAGTGGATTTTAGAAAATAATACAGGATTATATATTAAGAATTTTGAGCATCCTTCGTGTTGAGCACCCAACTTATTGAAATTAGTTTTATCAGTGTAGTAGGCTTTTTCTGCCACCAGTCTCTTTCATTTGACCCAATGGAGTAGGATAAGAGAAGAATGACCAGGTTTATACACAAAATGGAGCTAATGGACTAAAGTTTATAATGCAAGGTGGATGGCTAGGACTAAATCATGATCACATCTGAAGAGATATCAAAAAACACTGATTTATAGCTGGCTATATACTTGAAAACTACAAGCGTTCTTACTTTGTGATGTATTAAGCCAGCAAATTGCTAGAGCTTCACCTGCCATCTATTGGTGAAAAACGGGAAATAGAACATTTTTTGCCTTATCAAAACAAGATGCAACGTTTAAGAGGTATAAATCATCAGTATGATAGTTTAAAAAATTGAATGGTCTTCAATTTAAAACTAGTATTTTTATTTAGGATGGGTTGAAAACAAATATTTCTATTTCAGTAATAGCATTACTAGTGTATGCAGTCCTATTCGTTGAAAGTGATCTCACTCCAGTTTTGAGTCTGAAAGAGTACAGAATTTGATGCATCTGCCATTTTGAAAGCAAAGTGAAGGTAACCAGGTCAAAAGCCAGCCATCTCAGGGTGAAGCTGTACTTTAAAGTACAGTAACTTGATGGCAATAAAACATCCTTGCAAACTCTAAGTGGATAAAGTGAGCAAGGGGTAGTGAATGAAAGAGAATGGGTTAAGAATCATAATTTGTGATGTTGATAAAGAGTTGATTGAACTTTTAGTTGCTAAATTTTTGTGACAGCTTTGCAAGGTTGCAATAAGCCAAATAACAGAGTGGGAAATTAGTTCACTATTTCCTACCTTCATTTTAAAGAACTTCTCATAGTGCAAAACAATTTTTCCAAGGAAGAAAGGCAAACATATAAAACTCTAATACTTCCATAACCAGTCCTTCTGGCAGTGAATGCTAAACAAAAGCAGCTATAATGTAATTCA